GGGGGAGGGGCAGAGAGAGAGGGAGACACAGAATCAGAAACAGGCTCCAGGCTCTGAGCCATCAGCCCAGAGCCCGACGCAGGGCTCGAACTCACGGACCGCGAGATCGTGACCTGGCTGAAGTTGGACGCTTAACCGACTGCGCCACCCAGGCGCCCCTGCATGTGCTCAGTTTACAAGAAAAGCAGTTTTAATGCATCTTTCCAGAAAAGTTTAGGGCATATACAAGCCGAATGTGTGTGTGTGTGTGTGTGTGTGTGTGTGTGTGTGTGTTTGGTACACAGTCTACAATTTGGCACCTTGATATTTTCACTTAATCGACACAGTCGATTTTCACAAAATCGACACAGTCCTCCATCATATGGGTGTGTCACAATCTATTTCACTAGTCCCCTCCTAGTGGGTATTTTGGTTATGTCAGTCTTTTGTTGCTACAAACAATGGTGCTTGCAGGAAATATCTCAGTACATATATTTGTCTGCACTTGTGTGTGTAGCCGTAAGACAAGTTTATCAATATGACAATGCTGAGTCAAAGGTTCTGCACTTTTTAAAAGTTTATCTATTTATTTTGAAAGAGAAAGAGAGAGAATGTGTGCCCGGATGCGGAGCTCGATCCCACGAACCATGAGATCGTGACCTGAGCTGAAATCAAGAGTCAGATGCTCAACTGACTGAGCCACCCAGGCACCCCAAAGGTTATGCACTTTTAAATTTGGGGTTGATTTTTGGGAATTTGGATAGATTTGGAATTGCCTTCCAAAAAGTTTGCACCAATTTGCAACCCCCAACAATGGAGGACAGTGCCCGTTTTCCCACATCCTCACTCTATTACATTATAGGTATTATAAGGCCTTTTGATGTTTGGTGAGGCCTATTTGAAAGTCTTTGTCATAGGCCGGTAATGATCTGTCTTTTTCTCCAAGGCAGAGACTGTATCTTTTCTATCCCTATACTTCCAGTGTAGGATCTAAATATGAATGAAAGTAAACAGGATTGCATTTTGGTGGGGATGAAGGGAAGGGGTAGAAGGTTAGAGCTAAGCAGGAAGTCTGGTTTTTTTTTAATGTTTATTTATTAATTTTGAGAGGGAAGGGAGGGGCAGAGAGAGAGAGAGAATCCCAAGCAGACTCCACGCTGTCTGTGCAGATGTGGGACTGGATCCCATTGAACCATGAGATCATGACCTGAGCTGAAATCAAGAGTTGGACACTCAAATGACTGAGCCACCCAGGCAGCCCTAGGAAGCCTGTCCTTAAGGGTCACTCTCATTTCCAGGCCTCAGTCAAGCCTCTGCCCCAAACCCAACAGCCCTCCTCTGGCAGGAGCCTCCCAGATTTTGAGATCTGAGATGGAAGGCCCAAATTCCTGAAACAGCTCTCACTTAGCTCTCCTGCATCCCAGGGATGGGCATCATCATCTCTGAGACCCCTAAAGACTAGAAATAAGGGGTGCCTAGATGGCTCAGTTGATTAAGCATCTGATTCTTGATTTCGACTCAGGTCATGAACTCACAATTTGTGAGTTCAAGCCCCACATAGGGCTCTGTGCTGACAGCACGGAGCCTGCTTGGGATTCTGTCTTTCCTCTCTCTCTCTGCCCTTTGCCCCACTCTCAAAAATAAATAAATAAACTTTAA